GCAAACTAAAATAATAATAATGATGATGATGGTAACAACATTTATTACTGATTCAGCCTAGAAGGCCAGGCCTGAGACTTCGGCCTCTCTCAGGAAGGGATTTCCAAACAACCGGCTCTGATCCTTAGAGGGCGAGGAGTGCTGTGGGTCCTCTCTCCCCTAAATGTGCCGACGTACAAAGGCTTACATCCAGCTTCGGGGATTCATGGGCCTCGCTTATTCTGAATCTAATTTCCGAAAAATCCCTCAAGGGTCTATTGACCTCTAAGAGTCAAAATATCTAAGCCAGAAGGATGTGCACTTCAGTGTTGTTTATAAACTCGAACGACAGAGCTCAATGTCTCCAAAAAGGATAAACTAGGGTACCTCCAGAGAGCGGGTCGGTTTTTGAAAAGAGTTTTGCTAATAGGGCGCACGCACTCACCGGAGACACAGAGACAGAAAGAGAGAAATCACCCTGCCCTCGGGGGAGATGGCCACATCACAACCCCTTCTTCTCCATTCTCCCCTAGGATTTTGGGCACACACACATGTGCCTGGCATGAATTTCAAGTCACTGGGTCTGGGACTTGAACCACGGCTGGCCACATGGGAGTCCAGAGCTTTAACCACTACGCTGTCTGCTGGCCCCAGAATGGGTCATTTTACAGCTGTGAAATATGTGTAAAAATATGTAATGCGACAGGCAAATGTTCAATGCTCCATTCTATGGAGGAAAAAACATAATAAACTTTAAAAAGTATCAGGGGCCAGTAAGTGGTATAGCAGTTACATCTCTGGACTCCCACATGGTTAACTGCAGTTCGAGTCCTATGCCTGGTGGCTTGAAAATCACACGTGGTGCGTGTGTGTGGCCAAGATCCCAGGAAGAGAACGGAGAAGAAGGGATTGCAGCGTGGCCATCTACCCCAGGAGGTGATTTCTCACTTTCTCACTGTCTCTGTCTCTCTCTCTCTGACGAGTGCCCTATGGCAAAACTACAGATTACAAAACAGTAGGTACGGTGCTGGTACCTATGTTAACGCTTGAATGTTCGAGTTATTCTGGGTGGCTTTTACTTTTCTTTGTATACGTGTTTATTTTTCAAATTGTCTACAATGAACATGAATTAATTGAACCAAGCCAAAAATGAAAAAAAAAAAAAAAAGACAAAAAACACTCAGCTTACTTAATTTTTTTTTTAGAGGTTTTTGCTACAGGGCGCGTGCGCTCACCAGACAGACAGAGAGAGGCAGAGAGACAGAAAGTGAGAAATCACCCCCCCGGGGGGATGGCCACGCCGCAATCCCTTCTCCTCCATTCTCCTCTCAGGATCTTGGGCACGCACGCACATGTGGTGGGTGTGTCCAGTGACAGCCATTACGCTAACTGCTGGTCCCGACTTAATTTTGTTTTCTAAAAAAATCCTCTGCGGGGCCAGGTAGTGGCACAGTGGTGACACGCTTGGGAAGTGTCGTGGGTTTGTGCCCGAGTCATGCATGTCTGTATTCCAGGCCGGCTGATGTTGGACTTGATCCTGGTGCTGGGAGCCTACTTGGGGTGCCTCACGGAAAAGATAAATGAATGAACTTCAAAATTTAGAATAATTGGGGACCAGCAGTTAGCGTAATGGCTATGTCGCTGGACTCCCACATAGTCGAC